AATACTTATTTCTCTCTGCAAAATGCAAATAAATTTATATAATTAAATTATACAGTGTAATTTTCTGCGAAATTATATTGTTTTGCAACACAAGCTTGACATATGCAATACAGTGAGGCCCCGCAAAGTTGTGTTTCACAGTTTGCGGGCATTATTTTGCTGATTTTTTTCATGGAATCCACTAGTAGTTTGCTGTAATCCCTGTTCAGTAAAAATGTACTTTTTTTTCCTCTCATGCATATTTTTAGCTAAATTATTATTAACTAATTTTGCAACATTACTCTATATAGAAAGAACACACACACACTGTCCCTGCTCAAAAGGTCTGCCTGGAGCACAGCTTTTCCACCTTCTAATGGCTGCTAACTGTTTAGCTCTCAGGTGTTTTTGGTTGGTTCTCACCACATTAATGTATTCTCCAGGCATATGGTTCAAGTCTATACAAAAATCAAGTATCTATGTTACCTTGTTGTTAGAGCTGGGCAGTATGACCAAAATTTTATACCATGGTATTTTCAACATTTACATCAGTTTCACAGTATATCACGGTATTTTACTTTTCAGCACAGGTCAGCTGATAAAATGAACAAACACTGTTTATTGGCTTTTTTCTTTTACTGTACCTCTGTTTGTGTCGCTGTTTCCCTCCTCTATGTCTTTTCTCTGACTGGTGGTTGGAGACATTCATCACACATTTTGGTCCGGTCGTGAAGGAGGATGGTTAAGAAAAGATTATTATCGGGTCTATTATTATGTTATTTAATAAAACTTATCAGGATGACTCATCTTGCACACCAGTCAACTCAACTCCACTACAAAACTTCTTAACCCGGGCTTTTCACAATAGAACCGCGTTAAGTCTCCATCAGCGTAACGTCTCTATTTTAACGTCACGTGTTTAATCTAACCGTGCACGTCACTGAAGAGGTGTTTCCTACATTCAGCGATGGCAAAAATGCAATGTTTTCTTAACATCAGTCAATATAAGCAGTGGAATCACCACCCACTGCTGCAACAATCTGCTCCAACAATAACATCAGCATGCTAACGCACATAGCGGTGTTATGAGGAAAAGTGTCCCCTGGGAAACAGTTCACTGGCAGCCGCGACAAAATGTTCCAAATGTGTTCAGGCTATTTAAACTGATATGTTGGTATTCAGAAAACATATCATAACAAAAATAAAAAACGGTATTCGGTATGAACCGGTATACCGCCCAGCACTACTTGTTGTTATAAAAAAGCTGTAAATATTAAAAATTTGACTTTGCATCATTTCTTTGAAATTGGCCTATATTTCTTTAAAGAGTAACTTACCCCAAAATTAACTTTTTTTAGCTGATAAACTGTCTAGAATGTGTCTAAAATGTTATATAGTACTGTTTC